GACGCAGTACCAAGCAAATTCTCATTGCTTCATCCACCATGAAAACATAATTTATGACATGTTTTGATGCATCTAACAATAAAATTTGATTGAAAAATCTTATCACTAGCCTGCGAATTATAGAAGAAATTGAAATATTAAGTTTACTATTAGCATGTTTGTTGCGTATAAATGTGAAAATTTAATATAAAAAAAATAAAAATCAAACGCGAACGAAATAATTTTTGAATTCTTTTACGTATTTTTGGTTAAAGAAAATATAATATTTCATATGTATTGAAAGAGTGTCAATACTATGCGTATGAATGCCCGATAGAAGTATCCATTGATACATGTTTCTTGTCCAAAGTCTCTTTTAGATGCAACTCGATGTTGGACTCATTTTGGGAGCTCTAGATAAAGCCATCTCTCTCTCTAAATGAGTTAGACTAGTGCTTAGAGACTCATCACAAATGCTACAAGTTTTTTAAGTGATTACGTACCTTCTTTTCTTGATTGGGGTCGATTTTGTGTGGATCAAAGTTCTTAATCCAAATTATGCCAAACATAATGGTGCCTGCCTAATTGCCACCCACTATCCTATAACGTGTTAGTTAATACTTGCCTTAGCATCAAATATGGAAATCAGTTGGATTAATTTTTTAGTATCACTCATTCTTGTCTAGTCTTAATCTGCGTGACAAATTTCTAATCCATCATAGGATTTTAAGAGCTTAAATTGATAAGCTTTACATTCGAACCTAATCAACACGTAACTAACAATACGACAATTTTAATGGTAATGAAAAGACTTCAAATTACATTACCTTATCCGGCCAGGATTCCGTAACTGTTACTATAACTTTGTGACTTTGGATAATATAAAAAGATGAATGATGTTTAAAATAGATTATTTGTTGAGAGAGAAAAATTAATTTAGTAAGATATAGAGACAAAGTTATCAAAGTTATAAACTTCAAAAATCACCCAAACTCTTCCCAACCTTATCTCTTCCACCTCTATCCGTTACTAACAATATTATTTGATTATTAAATTTATTTATCAATGTTATAATAAATACTATTATTTAACATATTATTAATTTTGAAGAAATAAACGAGGGACACATTAAAAAGGTAGTAATAAGTGTCTGAGATGTTAATTTATGTGTATTAAAACCTTTTGCTTTATTGTTATGTTTTATTTGTTAAACTTTCAAATCCATTCTCAACCTTCTCATACCAAGTGCCAACTTTTTTATTCGATAGTGAACTTATTTCATGATACAATAAAAATCACGTCAATGCTTCGTATAGATTAAGAACAACTTGTAAGTTATTTGAAAATTAGAGCATGAAATATATTATATGAAATTAATATTTATAAAAATAATGGTATAAAATACGCTGAAAAACGTGATAGTATGACACAAATGAATATAATGTCCGAAACCATACCAGTTAGTTTGGCTTGGCTTCATTTTTAAAGAAATACTAAAAACCAAACCAAACCAAATCGACGAAGATATTATCATTCAGACAACTTTTTGACCAAATATCAGTACAAACCAAACCGATTACACCCCTAAGCATGCCCACTGTCCACTCATAATGGAATAACCTATTAGTAGGCCATTGCAATTAGCTGCTAAACTCATCCTGAGTGGGAACTTGCTCTAATGGAGGATGTGCCTAAGTGACATCCCAAATATAAGAAAAAAAAGGCCCTCGTAGCAGGATTTGTGCTATCAAAACTTATTGTCTCTAGTTGAAACATAAATATTAATACTTGTCTATTCATTTTAAATGGTACATAGTGATACAAACATCTGATACAAATCTAATACTTGTCTATTCATTTCAAATTGAACAAACTGATACAAATAAAATGTTTCCCTAATTCATTCTAAAAACTACTACAATTATAATCATAAACAACATTAAATTCCAAAGTTTTTTCCACTTCATAATTTTCTTCATTTTCCTTTCAAGATTGATCAGTTGTTGCCCAAGTTCTTCATTCACCATTTTTTCTTCTGCAACTGCCTTTGATGGCTTTTCAATTATATCCATCCAAAACTGCTCCTTCTCATCTCCAACATCTTCATAAAACCAACCAAAGAAACCACACTCAACTTGCATAGATCCCTGTAAAATTCATAGGCTACAATTTAAATAGTTGCAGCAACATGTGCTTTGAAAGTAGAAACATCATCTTTACATGAAACATACCTTATAATTAGGACAATTCCAAAAATGTTTTCCTTAGTTCTTAACAGTTGTTGCCCTTCGAAGAGCGGCCAAGTCCCCACAATGACATAAGGTTTCCAAACGGAGCTTGTATACATATTTGAACCTTCCTTCGAAGAATAACCACTTCTGTGTTTTTCTATTTCGCCAATGACGAAGATCAACTAAAATTCATGTTGTAGTCTCTGTCTCCAGTTTGTTTGCCCTAGCGCTAGGTCAAATTTGTGAATAAATTTGGGTCTAAAATGAACAACATCAACGTCATAAGGAAGAAGACGATCCAACATGTCAACTCATCAGCCACGTTTGCACACATTAATAGACTTTTGAGGGTCGCTGACGAAAATGACCAATATGACACCATTTAAAAACTTACGAAATCACTTTGAAACTTTTTAAAATTAAGGGATCAAATTGAACTCCGAAGTATATTTAAGAGATCAATAATGGTATTTTTCTTTTTTGTTTTTTCGTCTATGCAATTTTTAGATCATTTTAGTGAGTTAAATTTAAGTTTATAATTTATTTATAAAAGGAGGAGTAAAAATTTAACTCTTTATAGTCTTACACTTTTGTATATGTAGGATTTTTTCTATTTTATTGATTTTGACATTTTTAAAATAAATTACTTTTAAATTTTGATGTTTTGTTATCATTTGAACAGGATAATTTCTTCATATTATTTTTTAACAATATTATTATTTTATGTTATTTTTATAATTATATATTTTTTAAAATATAAAAACATATTCATATTTAGTTTATTTTTTAAATGACATGTTGCGGAGCTATACTTGTATTAAATATTGAGAACTATCCAAACCGGTACATCATCAATGCCAAATTGCATAAACAATAGTACACTGATTTAAATTTATTAATAATACACAAGAAAGCAGAAAAACTATGTCTGAAATCTCATGTCTTGGTCTTGTTCCCTTTTTACATAGAGTCTTATATTAAGAATAAAGAGTCTTATAATTAGTTAAAAACACAAATTAAAAATGAATGGTTTAGTAGTTTTTGCCAATATCATAGAATCGTGATTCAAGTTCATGTTAAAGATTGACATATTGGGTAAAAGTTAAAATCTTAAAAAATATCATATGCTTCATTCGCCGATTTAGCAACATGAAAATCATTCTTCATCCTAATGTTTAAAAACTCGACACAAATCCTCCAAGTTTTTAAGACTTGCCTTCTTGATTAAGGTCCATTTTTTGTGGATCAAATTTCTTAGTCCAGAGATCATGCCAAACAAAATTGTGCTTGCCTAATTGCCACCCACTATCCCATAACGTGTTAATACTTGCCTTAGCATCAAATTTGGAAATTAGTTGGATTTATTTTTTAGTATCATTCATTCTTGTCTAGTCTTAATCTGCATGACAAATTTCTAATTCATCATAGGACTTTAAGAGCTTAAATTGATAAGCCTAATCATCATAACTGACAATACGATAATTTTAATGGTAAAAAAAGACTTCAAATTACTTCACCTTATCTCTCCCACCCCTATTGGTCACTAACAATCTTATTTGATTATTATATTTTATTTATCAATGTTAGAATAAATAAACATTGGGTAGTACTAGTAATGTTTAAAATATGATTAATTTTGAAGAAATAAATGAAGACAGATTAAAAAAAAGAGAAGCGAGTGAATTTGTTATCTCTTCTATTAGAGTTTATTAAATTTGCTCTGTGATAAGCAATGGGTCAGCAATAGTGGCATTATCATCAATGCCAAATTGCTTAGACAATAGTACACAGGTTTGAATTTATTTATAATATACAAGGAAACAGGATAACTATGCCTAAATATCATGTCGTGGTCTTGTTCCCTCTATACATAGAGCCTTACATTAAAAAAAAATTAAAATTAGCTAAATAAATAAATAAAAATTAATGGTTTAGTCATTTTTGCCATTATCATGGAATTGTGATTCTGCAGGTTCATGTTAAAGGTTGACATGTTAAGTGAAATCTTAGATCTAAACTCCTCTCAAGATCCTCTTAAATTAACTTCAAGTTCGAATACCAACTTTTAAAAATAAACCCTGCGTGGACAATAAAAGATATGATGAGATGTGCCCCTAACTTGCCAATCCAACACGATGATTACTCAAGCTCAATTACAACTACTGCCACGACCAAATGATTTAGCTACACATAGTTGTTGGCTCTCAGTTAGTCCATACACTCATCATACAAGTTTTAATGCGTGATGCTGAAGCAAGAATTTAAGCTGATTTTAACATTTAAATACAACAACTTGGCTAACATTAATATGCTGTTAGCATGAAGATGAGGTGGAGAACATGCTTCCAATCATTTAAACCAAGCAACAAATTATATGACCAATAATCAGCTTATTAACAGGAAGTAAAAAAAACACACCTCATGGTCAAATAAAGCAATTATCAATTCGGCAAAATAGAACGAACATCTTATGAAAGATGGTTCTCTTCTTATTTTTACCATGCTATCTTACAACATTTCACCAGCATATAAAGCTACATAAATTTACAAAAATATAGGCAAAATTAAAGAGAATAAAACTAATGCACATAGTTTTACCATATGAATGAACATCATCACTAATCATTTTCCCTCCCTCTATACAATACTCGTAGCAGATAGATAATAAATCTGCTTGCTTTCAGCCAGCAACTGGTGTAGAAGATGGCAATTTACACAAGAGTAGCTAGCTAAAAATCACTTCCACAACCTCATGCTAATCATCTAAAACAAAAGTTGTAGTTGATAGCGTCACAAAATGGGAATTGAGATGCTCTCGCTGTTAACATGATGCATTTCATTTTTTTCAGCCTTCATAGCAGCCACTCTAGCTGTATTGGCTGCTCTATTAGCTGCTGATACTGCTCTATTCACTCTTTCATCTACCTTGGCTACATCATAGGCTTTTTCAACTGCTCTTCTAGCTTCCTGTTTGTTCACAAAGAATCACATAGTTAATAATGAAAGCTCACAATACTGCAAATTATCTATCTGTGTACAGTTTTTAATGTCTCCTTGTCTATCCTTTTTTTACACAAATGAGCTAATTTGAACCATGTAGAATAAGAAAATGTCCAATTATCTGTCGATAATCTCAAGCTTTCATAAAAAGGAAAATGCTTTAGAGCCAGAAATTTCAACAGAATGAGATAAGCATGCTTATTGGATATTGGACGATCAAATAACTCCTACCACTTATCATTCCAACAAAAACCCATACTCTAGTAGAATTCAGTCAAAATTCTGGACAAATTTTCCTTCATATGTAGTAATGTTTTGTTCTCCCCCCTCACGAGTACATAGAGAATATTTCACATGCCCTGATAGCAAGCAACCTTTGGATATGTGTGTCTACTTTATATGAAACTTGCAACAGATGAAAAACCAGTACATGATTTTTAAATTTACTAATGAAGAATTACACTTAAACACAACGGATACCAATCAGGATTTTCAAGCACAAAAACAAAGTAACTCTATGAAATCATAAGAATTATTAATGCAATGTTAAAACACAGAAATGATTTGTACATTATTCAGATTATTCTAGGCTAATGTGTAAAACAGTGTGTACCTGCACCGTATTAAGTACTCTGGAATGATTGACACCCACTGGCGAAACTGGATATGTGGCGTTCTGTGTACTTGGAATGTCAAGAACTCCATTTTTCCAGTGACCAGATTGGGTTTCTCCATTTCTAAATGTATACATTCCAAGACCGTGCCTTTTCCCTTCATGCCAGGTTCCTTCATAACGATGACCATTTGCAAAACAATATACTCCAAAACCATGCATCTTGTCCGCAAAATATTCACCAGCATATGTATCTCCATTTCTAAAAAAGTGAAAATAGTCAGTATTAACAAAAAATAGAGTTATACTTTTATTGGAGAGCAAATAAAAAGGAGGTACACTGTGCCCAACATGAATCAATTGAACAATAATGCATTAGTGGTGATTTTCATTAAAAGAGAGGCATTCTACATGTGAGAAAAATCAGAAGGATACATAATAGGATTAGGCACCAACATTCATTAAAAGCATGCCAAGAATCCTATTCACTATAACTAATAGAAAACTCAGTAATGCAATTGCAACAAAAAAAAAACAAAATATGTGGCATTAGTATTGCTTATGGACCATGGTCAACTAACAAGGTAGTATTTGTCAAAGTTAGGACTAGAGGTGGAAATAGGCAAGGCCGACTGACAGCGCCCTACGGCTTAGCCTATGTCCCGTTTTTCAAAAGCCTATGTAGCTAAATAGGCCTGGCCAGATGCTCTAAAAAGAGCCTTTTAAGCTTACCCAGTCATAAATTAGCCGCACGTAAAACTAAAATGCATAACAACACTGCATTTGGAGTTGTTGCTACGAGACCTGGAGGTTACAAGTTTAAAGTCATGGACTTCACCTCTTGGAAAGAAACTTAGGAGATGATTTATGCTTTTAGACTAGCTTGAAGAGGCATAAAGCACCTTGAACACCAAATACATTTTGCTCTATTAAACTAAAAGTAACAAAAACAAAAAATAGGTCCTATAAATACCAGTCTCTATATACACTTAGAATATTTCAGTTTTTTCTACAGTTTAGTAATTCCATCTGTCTACTGTATTATTACTTAACAAAGAAAAGTTACAAGCCCTACACGTGTCAAAACCCACCAGCTAGCCAGCTAGTTATTGGTGAAACGTATTACAATCTAAAGAAAGATCAGAGACAATGAACAAGTCTTAATTGGTTAGCCGGTCTCACGTATGTATGACAAAATTCATGCTTATCTTTTCCTTGCTTACTAGTAATCCTTAACTTAACACAACCAACCCTATTTTGCATCTGAAACATATACTTATTCTACCTAATATAGGGCCAAATTACAAAACAGAAGCCCAAATCCTCAGAGTCAGACAAAACAAAGACAATAATGCAAAAAAATATATCATTTGATCAAACAAAACAAACCGTGTCTATTATTCACCACGCCACCAATGAAAACAACACAATGAAGACATGTAATTATGTTGAATTTGTTATTCAGTTTGTCTAAATCAGACAACACCCACATATAATTATACCAGCATCATATAGAATAAACACAATAAATACTAATTGATATGATTTGCTAATTCTAATCCCAAAAATGAACATTATGATTTGATGATTCTAACAGTAATTAATTGATCATAACTGCAAAAACAATCCTACAAATGAAGATAAAAACAAAGTTACCTAAAATGATAGTGGCCAAGACCATGCTTAACACCCCACTTGAACTCTCCAACAAATCTACTCCCATCATCACAAGTATGAACACCAGAACCATGACTCTGTCCATTCAACCATTGACCAGCATAAACATCCCCAGTATAGAATCTATAAACCCCAAACCCATGTCTCAATCCATCTCTATACTGACCCTTATATCTACTTCCCTTAGACCAAGTCTCAACACCAAAGCCATCATATTTCCCATCAACCCAATCCCCTTCATATCTCCCACTCATATTATAGTAATAAACCCCACTCCCACAACACTTCCCTCCTTTCATCTCACCTTCATAAACGTCACCGTTTGAATAAACCCTAACCTCTAATACAACCACCGTGCTGGTTGACTTGTTCCTCTCCTCTTTCTTCTCCTTCCGCCTCCGCCGCCACAGCCGCCAGCGCTGCACAGTCAGAACTATGGGAAGCGACGGCGAGGATTTAAATTTGAGAGACAGAGAGAAGAAAAGCGCGGCGGAGAAAGCGAAGGCGGAGAGGAAGTTAAAGAAGAAGGAGTGAGTAGGACGGGAGAGTAGAAAGTAGAAAAACGGAAAGGAGAGGAGGAGAACGAATCGGAGACGGTGGCGGAGACGACGGAGTGCGGCGAGGGAGAGGGAATACAATTGGGGGAAATTGAAAAAAGATAGGGATTTAGAGGGTTTGATTTTGTTGTGTCTGTGATTGTGATGATGATAAATTGGTGAAGAATTGTGTTGTTGTTGTAGTTGTTTGTGATGAATTGAATTGTAAAGTTTAGGGTTGAAATCGGAAGAAATTCCGGTGCTTTCTTTTCCGATCTGAATTTCCGATTTCTTTTGATGCATTACATCAAGCTTCAAACTTGTTCTATTTTTTCGTTTCTGTTTTTGTTCGTTGCGATTTTTTCTATGTGCTTATTTATTTTGAATATATGAAATGGATTAGGATGTTGATATGCTGCGTTTTATGTTTTAAAAGCGGCGCGTAGGCGTCGTTTTAATTAAGGTGAAAATAATAATAATGTGAAGAAGGGTAAAAAAAGTGAAGGTTTGAGTGATGAAGTGAAATGAAAGTGGTGTGTGTTTTTTATTATTTAAATTGTATTTTATGTAACTATAATTTTTTATAGAAAAAGAAGTGTGAATTTTGATGAAACGGAAAATGAAAGGCGTAATAATTGTGCATTGGAAGTGTCGTTTCGAATGAATCTGCGATTGGATTGATTGACGAAGACAAAAGTCGTCCGTTTCAAGTCTAAAAATTAAATGGATGAAGTAACCAACAAGTTAGACGAAATTTCCCCCACAAATACTAGTTTGATTATTCGTTTAGCTAGAAAGTGGTGGAAATAAGCTCCCTTGGGTTAAAATTTACAAAACTACGTGTTTTGATCACTATAATTTACTTTTATCAATGGTAAAATAATATATTAATTAGTCATTATGGCGGTCAACGTTGGTCCCGTCTAAATTTGTTATGTAAAAACTTAAACTTTCATCTGCTACACAAATGATATAAACGTGGACTTAAACTTTTATCTGCTACACAAAACATGAAGGTAAGGTGAAGCGGACCCGCAAACACTGTATTTTTTTAGTCTAAAAATTATAAAAAATTATGTTATCACACATTCGAAAAAATTTAAAAAAATAGAACCGGCGAATGTTAATTAATATAACTAACTAGCTATTGTGTAGTAATCTTAAAGAAGTAATATTAAACTTATCCATTTATATTAATTTACTTGGTCACCAAGATAACTTGATCGTGTTGGTCAGAATTTGGTCAACTAATTTTATTACTTAACTAGCAAGATTATTTAGTCAAGAAGTAAGTTACTTGCTCATGAAGAAAACTTTGTCATGAAATACTTAGACATCAAAGTATTCAACATCAAAATCACCTATAAATAAAAAGTGATGGTGAAGATTGAAATTTGTTCCAACATTGAGAGAGAAAAACATTACAACCTTGAGAGAGTTTCAAGAGAATTAAAGAGATTTTTAGTTAGTCACATTTTTAAGTGTAATTGGATTTTGGATAGTGAGAGATTGTGAATGTTCGAAAACACTTTGTGTAAAATTTTCTTTTTAATAGAAAGATTTGCAGCAACTCGGAGACATAGGCATATTTGGTCGAACCCCGTTATCAATCTTGTATTTTATTATTTTGCATTTATCGCTTTTTCATTAATATGATTTTGGGGAAATATGGTGTTGTTTTCTAACAATGGAGTGGACATATTAGATGGTGCGAGTCAATAACCTTGGTTCGTCTCATGAAAAAGATTAGACAAAATGAGTATGATCGACGAGCCATGTGTGTTTTTCCACCCTTACTAGTCATTATTGATGACTACAACAAATGGAATCGCACAAAATTACCTAAACACAATGACGAATCCCAATCAAGTGTTCCTAGAGTTTTTAAATCAAGTCAAATTTGATAAATATTTATGAAAAAAGCCTTTTAAAAAAATTATGAAGAAAACAACATTTCTCGTGGAACGGGGAAGTTATTATATGGAAGAGTACAAATGATCCAAATCCAAGATACATCCAATAGCTCTTTGCATCACACGCCTAGTAAATAACGGGTTGTTATAACCTCCCCATTATATAAAGGATATGCGCATGGAAATTCGTTGCACAATTTCAAATTCAAATTTTATTCACTCTTGTTCCCCACATACTGACTTGGGTATTGGAATGTTAACCTTATAAGTCATTCTTTCCTCCTTGACATCAAAAGCTTATATATGTCGTTGTTCTCCACAATCATTGATTCATCAACCAATTCTAGTTCCGAAACGGAACGATGATGCCTTTTTTGGGAATTGACTTCTGATTCCAACACCTTCCATAATCTCACATTCTCACTTCGATCCATCGATTCGAAACTCCCTCTATTTTTTCAGATCATAGTTCTCGAAATTGAACATTAGATTCCTCATGTTCTAGCTAATCAACCTCGATTTCTTGAATTTCCAAGTTTTTTACTTCCTAAATTTTTAGTAATGGTTGGATCTAAAGGTATTTATCATGTCGTCTTGTACGAAGCAGTTGCCTCTATTGTCGTTGCTCAAGCAATGATCATTTAACCACCTACACCTTTTTCAAGAGATATTGCATATTGAGTTATGGCAGATACGCCGCTGCATCCAAAACTACTCAAAGCTACTCATATTGTAATATATACTCTAGTGCATCAAATGAGACTTTTGATACCACCGCTAGCAACAGCCGAAAACATTATTTGGTTTCCGACTGTTATGAGTCAATCTCATAATACAAGACACAAATAAATTGTTGAACAACATGTATAATATCGTTCGGCAATAGAATTCAAAGCCGATAAAGAAGAGATTTCTTCGTATAGAAGAAAGTTTACACAACGTGCCTCAAAGAAGAAACACTGTGTAGGAGGCCTTACCAAAGGGAATTTGAGTGGTCTTCCCTGAGTCATTCCCATCGAGAAGAGATGAGGCTCTAAAATTACTGAAGCACCTAGAGAGCAAGAAGTGTCAAACTCTTCCTCTGAGCTCTAAGGGAGACTGAGGCAACCATGTTCTTTCACATGATCATGCAGAGAAACCACCGACAAAAAATCTGTAAAAACATCACCTATACACCCGCATTTTGGACAGTAGAATATTGAAGTCTTTAGATAAGCCTCGTAAGCTGAGTGAATACTATGGGAAAGGAATTCTGTCGAGCACATGTAACTCGTCAAAAAACGGTTGAGCTACTTCCAACTTACACAGCTTCCAAGTGTACATTATTTACGCTAAAGTTAATATGATTAGCCAAATTGTGGTTCAACGCTCTATCGGACGGGAGCATCGAATCGTGGGTTGACCTATGTGAGAGCTTTTTCGCTCAATTCATAACCTAGAAAATGCAGCCAGTAACACTAGTCGCCTTAAGCGGGATTAAATAAGGAAGGAAAAGGACTTTATGATCTTACATCGATTGCTTCACCCAAGTGAGCGTGGAAGTAGAAGGAGCGGAGAAGGTCTCAAATGCTAGATATTCTAGAAACGACTATTGCGGGATAGTCTCTTTTTCGAGTAGAAGTTGGGAAGAAGATAAACATGTATCATGAAAGAGATGTCGAACAGAGCTCAATCTTTCATCAATCTAGAGGAAAAGCTAAACACCCGGTTCGACAATCCGGTCGCTACTAACGCCAATTCTAGTCGTTTGGTGGAGAAGTATTTTCACAGGCGGAAAGATGAATCCAACATAGGAATGCACGGTTGGTAGGATAAATACACCCTTTTAACGCATCAACCAAAAAGACTTATCAACAATGCACCAACACTTTGTTTCAAAAGGGAGAATTCACATGTTATCGCTGCATGTTCGAATGTGCGCCACGACGCTTACGCTCTTTTGTCAGACGTTTATAGGGTTACAAACCTGTTTGGAGTTTACAGCACAAGCTTTTCAGTGTTGTCGTACGATGAATATTGGCTCATTTATGAAGGAGATCAAATTTGCCATAACCCAAGAATGCGGAAGAACAAGAAAGGTCGTCTAGTGAGCACACATATTAGAACGGAAATGGATAACTTTGATAAGCTTGAGAGAAAATGTTCCATGTGTCGCCAAACGGACCTCAATCGAACCCGATGTCCCAATGTAGGAACAAGTAATCGTTAGTGTTTTCATTAATTATCATGCACTATTTTCATATTAATATTAACTTCTAACAAAACCACACAACTATATATATTAAATAATATTAATTATATTAGCTTCATTATCTCTTACTAAATAATATTAATTATTATTATTATCAACATATATTAATATTAATAATATTAATTAATATAAATTAATTTTAAAATTATATTAATATTAATATTTAAATTATATTAATACTATTATATATTAATTGATTATATTAATATTAACATTATTAGTATTGGTAAAGGTCATATAAAAGGTGTTATACTTTTTCAATGGGCGATAAAGGCCATATAAAAAGTGTCTCGCCCTTTCATTGGGTGACTATGCTTGCGTATCCAAATTTGAAACCATGGTATTTTAGTATATATGTTTGAATCATATGGTATATTGAAAAATATATTCCAATAGTGTGACATGATGGTAAAAAATTCGAGAGATTGAGCAAGAAATATATGGAAAAACATAAATAATGAGTAAGAAAGTTTGTGAAAAATATGCAACGAACATATGGGTGAAAGGGCCTGACGAAGAACATGTCTGTAAATATTGCCTTAAGATTGATGGACATTGTGGCACAATTCAACATCCAATTGCACGCTACCAAGTGGGTTACATGACAAATTTTGTCGCGATGTGGCTGAATTGGCGGCGGTAAGAACTTTTGTGATAGAGACCGATGCTTCTGCACCATTAAAGCTTATATTTCATGTTTGATTCATGCGTTACTTCTTGAACTTTTTAGCAATTATTATTTCTATTGTGAGTAACTAAACTCCTCTTTTGATGTATTTATTTTGAGCAGCTTGAGCCATGAATTTATTCTTCATTAATTTTCATTTACGCACTTGTCGATCTAGTGTTATTCACTAAAGTTTGTGCATAATGCGTTTATTGTGCATAATGCGCTTATATTGATAAATGTGTAAATAGATTTTAAGTTGTGATTTATTTCTCGCCACAAGAGTTACGACTCAATTTAGCTTAACCAATCAACAAATATCTCTAGACCTATAGTAGATAGTGTGCTTGTGATTTTATGAATTAACAGTTGGTAAAACCTTATTTAATTGTGAACTTCCCTAAGATATCAAGGTGTTGGTAATGGAACGGGTTACGAGACAAAATATTAGTCATAACTGAATGATGAATGTTTACAAATTTATCCACATTCTTAAGGATTTAAATGTTTACAAATTTATTACTATGAATGATGAATGATAAGTAACTTGAATCATAGAAAGGAATATTATTTCTGAAAATAATAATCCTGAAATACTCCAAAAAATATTTCATAATTTGAAAATAATAATCCTAAAATGACTCAAAGAAACGTTATTTCATAATTTGAGAGCACTCTAAATACTTCTCAGAAAATCACAAATATGCAATATGCAGACAATGGATGTAGTAGTCTCTCATGTTGTCAAGACACTGCGTTCATTCCTAGGTAAAAGTATTGGAAAACATAACACATATTCCAATGGTAACAGAGCAACCACAGAAGGAACTCAAATGACATTTCCTCAAACACTATTTTCAATCATGTAACCAATTGCATGTGTATATTTGTATATTATAATCATATCCTATTGACCTTATTTTCTAATAACGGTAAGCTTATTAGCCCTAGCATTGTGTAAGCTTGTAAATGAATTTAATTTACTGAATAATCTGCAACAGCATTTGACTATACCATATCTTAATGTAATGGCATGAATGACAAGACAGCTAAAGAAAACAGCAACAAACTCATTAATTCAACATCAAAGAAGCAAAACCATCAAACTAAATAGCATTCAATAATCTATTACTGATACACTTGATGAACTTTCAAAATTTCTGTTCATAAATCCAAATCAAATATAACAATAATCTTAACAACGTACAAGAGAGTCTGCAAAGACTTTCAAAACAAAATGACAAAATTGTAAATAGGTTCCTTTCTAACTCTCGGTCTGCTCCCTCAACCTTCTGATGGTGCTCCTAACAGTCACAGCACTGGCAGTACTGTAAAAAAAAAACAAGCACAAACAATATCACAACATTAGCAACTAATTAAATGCAAGCTAATCAAATGAAACAACAAACTTTTTGTGCACGATTCTTACTTCAAAGTGTAAGCACCACCAGCCTTGACCTTTCCACAATCTTTGCAACCCCAAATGCCAACAGCCTTCCTCTTAACAGCATACTGCATAGAATGAAATCATAACAGCAAATTGAGAACATACTCAACCAACACAGTTGAAAAAATTCATCACAATAACAAACAAGAAAATCTACCTTTCCGCAAAATTCGCAGAAGAATTTACTGTGCTGACTGACTTCCATCTTCTTAATTTGCTTCCTCAAACTAGCACCATATCGGGTGCCTGAAATTTGAACACAAACTTACCAGTTATCACCATTTAACAGCTAATTAAAACACATGATTTCAAACACAATCTATACAACACTTAGAAAAAAGGTACATTTCAAAAATCTGAAAGTAAATTCGAATGTCTATGACGACAGAACTTAAAAAGACAGCTTCTCTTTAAGTGTTGTCAATATCATGTAACCATAGCAATCAGTTCAAATTCTGCAACACCCAAGCCTAACTAACAGAGCTGAAATTCAACAACCTACCAACGAAATAAAACACTTCTATAGCCCATATTCAACAAAACAATGTACTAACATCACAACTCAAAAGAATAACAAATAGTTCAAATTTCACTCACTCTATTTAACATCATTTTAACTTCTTTTTGCATTCAATTTAAACATCAACACAAAGAAACTCATGTTCTCATCTTAGCTAAGAAACTCATTTATACTAAACCCTAATTGAAATTCAAAAGCATACATTGATCTAAACCCACTAAGATATTTAGGGTTATAAAAAAAACCCTTGTAGTAAATTGAAATGAAACAAATCTGACAACAAAATAAACGAAACCAACAATACAATCTCTTCTCTACAAAACTGAAACAATACAAAATGATAGAACGTACCGTATTTGCCGACGATACCGGCCTTCTTGGTTCTCTTAGTCTGTAAACAAAAATTACAAACAATAAACACATAAATCAACAAACATAAGATCGTGACTAACTGAATAACGCTTGAAATACAACAAGAGAGAAAAATTAACCATTTTTCGAGTGGCTTGAAGGGAAGCTGCGAGAGACGAAAATGAGCGGCTGAAAAACTACTGCAAATCGTTCGCAACAAGGGTTTCTGATGAATATCTTATAATATTGCGGGTATGGGCTTAGAAAATGGGCCATAATAACTGCACCTAGGCCTGGCTTTTAATTGTTCCAAATATTTCGATAATTTAACCTGACACCCTTAATTTTATATTTGCCACCTCAAATTTTAATTTAATACCAATAATCACTTTCTTATTTTTGTCTTGAAAAAATCGGTAGGCAAATGTAAAAATCCAACATTCACTTTTACTGGTATTTTAAAAAAATCCAATACATGTTAAAATTTATATTGATTTTTACAAAAATTTCAATGTATTGAATTTTTTTTCACATCCTAGGTACTGTTAAAATTGAACGAATTCTTCCTTTAATCCTCAATAAAGTTAAAAACAAAATTTAATTACCGAATTTTTAAAAATATTTAGAACTTACGGGTTATATCTTAGATGAATATGTTGGATTTTTCTCTTTTAAGGAAAATGTTTAAATGGTTCCAACTTTACGGGAATTGTTAGTATATTTTATTAGATTTTAATCTCTGATGGTTGGCCAGGTAGTTAGGGATCTATAGCAGAATGGACACTCCCATAGATGTATATGATTATTGTCTAATTATTCTTAAGTATGATAATCAACTACTGGGTCCTAAACCTTTCCGATTTCATAATCACAAGAGGGCTTTTATTTTTATGGAAAAACTTAAATCTCTCAAAGTTGATCTTAAAGGTTCGAATAAGAAAGTGTTTGGAAATATAGATTACCAAATTGAGAGTCTCATACTTGCGGTTGAGAATCTAGATTTGTTAATCAACCATATGGTACATTCGATTGATGAAGTGGACAGAAGGTCTAGAACTATTTATGACCTATGGGTTTTGCTTAAAACTAAATATTCTCAATTACCCCCAAAAGTGAATGTGGGATAGCTCGAGGAAGAGGACATCAACTCAAGTTATTTTGATGCCTAGATTAAGAGCAAAAGTATAAAAAATTCAACATTATCCCTAAAAATGGACAACAGTTAGATTTAAAGGTGGTCGAGATTTGACATGAGGTATATAAGTACTTCTCTAAGCGTTTTAAAAACCAAATGCTTATCACCCCAAACTTTATGGGGTGGTCTTTCGGTCTGTTAATGAGGACGGAAATTAGGCCTTGTCAGCTTCTTTCCTTCTTCAGGAGCTCTATGAGGTTGTGTCCAAGTGTGATGGAAATAACTGGTCATATGGTTTTAACTTATCTTTCTTTAAAAGGTTATGGAATATGATGAGGGTGATATTTTTTTCCGAGTTTCACTATTTTGCATCACTACCCCATAGCTTTGTTTCTTACTTTGTAACTGTTATTCCTAAGATTAATAATACTTCTTTTATAGGAGACTTTCGCCATATTTCCCTTGTTGGATACCCTTATAAGTTGGTTTCTAAAATTTTGGAAAACAAACTAGGATCGTGATGGACAAACATATCTTTCTCTCTCAACCATCCAACTTTCCTTGAAGGCAGATTGTTGGTTGTTTGAGTTGTTGATGTGAATCATGTAATTAACTTGGATGGGCATACCAAAAAGTTTTGTTTCGTCTTTAAAGTTAACTTTGAGAAAGTATCTGAGTCGGTTAATTGGCGCTTTATGGATGATATGCTTATTAGATGTGGCTTTAATGTAAAAATGAGATACTGGATTATAACATGTGTTTGCCGATAATTTATATGTGATGGTCAATGGCTCCCATACTTAGTGAATGTGAGAAAAATACACAAGCAGAGGGCTTGAATCGTGTTCTCCAATTTGCGTTACTTTCTGAACAGAGTTCAGATTCTAAATAACGTTTCAGATTTTGGTAATATGGATGAAGCGGAATAATAATCAAAAGCAAGTAAATGACAAATGAACATACAAAATTTATCTTGGTTACTCTCAAACGGGGAGTAGTCCAATCCCCTTGCAGCACGAGAGATTTCCTACTATAATCAAAATTAATTACAATTGCTTATGCCCCCGACCATAAAACTTTCCTTTGCTCAGACCTACAGCCTGAGACTTGTTTGCTCAATCAGCACCTGATTGAGACTTCCTGCTTAAATCATCAGATCCTAAGACTTCCTTGCAAAAATCTCACGGATTCGAGACTTCCATGATTATACCCTCAAGTACAAGAATTCCTGCTCATATTCCTAGTCCAAAACTTCCTTGCTTAAATCTCACGTATTCAACACCTCCTTGGTTAAACCCTCAAGTACAAGACTTCCTTCTCAGACTCACAGTCCAAGACGTCCTTGCTTAAATCATATATCATCAGACTTTACTTAAAAGTATCATTCAGTTCTGAACCATCAGAAGCCAAGAACTCGTCTTCTCTCAAATGCGTTCCCTTAACAGATTTTGAGTAGATTCTTTTTAAGATTTGGAACCTGCATACTTAGAACACGCATTAGATAGCACTATTGTTCTTTCAATACTTTGTTATCATCAAAACCTGGAGGATATATGTCATGAACAAATCTTGTTCTAACAATCTCCTCATTTTCTTATGATGACAAACATAAGTATTTAAGAATAATGTTGAGCTATTTTAATTACTTGGCAACGTCAAAGTCTGAGGTTTGTAAGCCCCCACTGAGTCTAATAATTCAAAGGTTGAGGTTTTTATGCTCCCTCTAAGTTCTATATTCAAGAAAAATAAAATATCTCTCTCAAATAAACAAATAACTGTACATAATTTTAAATGACAGAAATTTAAAATAAACAAGAAATAAAATCTGAAGGGTTTAGATTCTCTTAAAATAATTTTATATCTCCCTCCCCCTTTGGTCACATAAAAAAGATTAAGACAAAAAAGAATATAAGGTAAAAAGATAAGAAAACTAAAGCAAAATTTTAAGAAGAAAGACGCATTGTCCCGAGACAATCAAAGATGCTTTATAGGGTTTAGAATAGTCAGAGTGACAGAGTCCGACAAATTGCATAGATCATAAGACTAGTTTTCATTGGTGCATAGATTCCATATTGTACTCAATGGTTACTTAAGACACCATATAAAAGTATATTAACAAATTTTCTTCAAGAATTCATCCAATTCATAGAAATATTTCGAGAAAAATTAGGTATGAAGAGAAAATATCGTAACTGAATTCCTCACAAGAGCGGGAAACAAAATTTTGCAAGAGAGATATATTTGCAGATGAAGGCTGAAACGGTAAAACAGAAACGTTGGGCAATTAAGAAACTGTCTGTAAAACTACATGTTAATGCAGTAAAAGAGAAATAGAAATCGAATGGATATGAAGGTGTTCAAACCAGATTGGCTGCCTATGGAGCACAAACTCAGGGGACGAAATAGCGTAGAAAGACTTTTAAGGATTCTTCCACTGAAGATGAAGTAGCATGTCAATCATGGAAGGAATATGTTGGTAACACTGAGAGAGATGACTGAAGCAACATAAAAGACTAGGGATAAACTATATTATTGTACTGTCTTATCTATTCTCATGTAATTTTTCTAATTCTAATGAAATTTCTGTTTTCAGTTTTCAATTGTTCTAAAACAAGCAAAAGCAAGTTTTATTTACTTTTAATCAACAAGAAAGAAATATAAATCATTAACCAGTGAAACATATTAAATAGATAATTGCTTAAACAAACTGAAATGTAATAAGATCACAAGCATATCATCAAACATATAAAAGGTTATACATCTTATGCTTAAGGTTTCTTTAATAATTCCACGACTGTCTTAAGATCAGAACCAATTTCTTCTTGCCTAGCAACAATAAATTTGAATTGCACATCCACTGATTGTTGGTTACTAGCCATCTGAGATTTTATCAATGTTTGACATCCAGCAACTGAAGCTACCATATCTTCTAAATTAAATAGTTGCTTCTGCCTAGATATAGTGACTTCCTTAGTAGAGAAATTCTTCAGGTTTTGAATGACTGAGTTGACAGAATTTCTAAAGGTTTTCCATCTTGCAATCTAAGCAACAAAATTAGTAGAATTAAATCCTTCTTCCACTATAGCCTTTACCTCATTATATAAATTAGTCTTAAAATCTTCCAACTGAGAAAGTACATGGTTAGGTAGAGGGTGATAGTTAGTCATATGTTGAGATGGTTTATGTGAGTTTGTTTATCTTTATGCAACGTTTCTTGAACAAATTCAGCAGAATTTTCTTTGCCTGAAGAATGGTTTGATGGAGATGAGTGTTAAGAGATTTCTTGATGAATTTGTGGTAAGGGCTGAGCATGGTTACTGATTTCTGGCTTTGGATTAGATTCAACACATTCAGTTTCATTATTAAAATAATTCTAAACTTATTGATCTAAAATACTTTTGGTGGAACTGTGTGAGGATGATATAACATTAAAAGACTTAGCATTTAGATCACAATCAGATTCATTAGGAATTGGAGAAGGTGAGTCAGCTTGAATGATAACATTATGATTATCCTGATTGGTTTGATCAATGGTTGGTCTTATGATGGAATGTTATCGTCTTGCGTTTTATCTTGTGATGTCTTTGGAAGAACAAAAAATTATGTTCTTTTAGGAATGATTGATTTTGATTGTTAATAAAGTTGTATGGCCAAGGTATGGGTTTGGATAGATCTAGCAGGTGACGGTTTGGGTGACTATCTTAGAGAAGAATTAAGACATGAGTTATTACCGGGTTCATCCTCATTACCTGGTCCTACTGCCATTGACACAAGTTCTTTTGCAGCCTCCACCTCTTTTCTACTTGCAGTTGGACTCTCATTTAACCAGTTCTTAAAGCCAACATATTTTTTTATAGACATAACTTGTATCTCTTCTTCCAAAGTATTTCCTTCTACTTCCTTAAAACCATTTTTGACAAAATATTCTTCACACACTTGAGCAACATCTATATCCTTCTTACTATTCTCAACAAACTCTTAAGTTATTCTAGCAACTTCGGGAGAATT